AAAAAAAAAAACAAAAAAGAATCTTTGTTATCACTTCTTTCTGAATGAATTCTGTAAGGATGAACACAGAACGTGTGACTTGAATACCTTAGGTAGAGAGCAGAAGCAGTGTGATCGACACAGGAAATAGACAAGGTCAAATGTAACTTGGCAGTGTTCAGGTTCACAAATAAGCTTGTCTTCACACTTTAAGAATAGATCATTTTAAATATCTATTACCATATTCAGAGAGTTTTATGATTTTAAAAACAAATACGAATCTTAAAATTGAAAGATTTTCTGAGAAAGCTGGAAGGAAGTGGTCTCAAAGAATGGCCCTTCCCTTCCCACTTACCAAAATGTAAATAAATCTGCCCTTGTCTCAATCAACTACTTTCTGCAAAATCCAGCTTTCCGCAAGGTGCACTACTCTCCCTCCACGGGATCCTACCTGCTTATTACTTTCAGGTAATCTGCTGTGCTCTATTGCCACAGAGATAATACATCCCCACCATATGATTCCTGAATCTTCCCTCCCATGCAGAAGGTTCCTCAGATTTCTCTCTGGGTCATTCTGGGGGCATAGAGGGTGTGAGTGTGCACACATATACTCTCTAAATCCAAAATGTCTGTGCTGGTCACATTAAAGAGGGAAACAATCTGGGTGGCACCTGTGGCTCAAAGGAGTAGGGCACCAGCCCCATATACCACAGCTGGTGGGTTGAAACCCGGCCCCAGTCAAAAACTGCAAAGAAAAAAAAAAAAAGAGGGAAACAATCAGAAGTAGAATAAGGTAAAGAGGGACTCACTGTTATGAAGGATAGGACATCCATTATCAAGCCAGATTCGATGAATCTTAGAGCACATTAGACCATTTTTAGAAATGATTCGTTTCATTCAAAACACTGACTTCTCAGTTTCTGAGTTGTTTACTTTCCCTTTTGTAAAGTGCTACTTCAATGTATTTTCATAAACAGTATTTCTGCCCCAGAGAACCTCATTGCTCAACATTTTAGTCTTTTTTTACACTGTCTCTTAACTTCCTGCTCTCTTATAGTTTCTCAACTGTTTGTGTTTTAGTAAATGAAGCATTTGGAAGACGAGAGAGGCTTGTTCTCAGCAACATAAGAAATTCCTCTATTAATGGCCCTTTGGGGAGCAGGAGCTCAGACACACCAATGGAGTCTTAAGGAAGATCATGTACTTTCCAGTTTGGTTAAGCCTCACTGAGAGTTAAAAACCTGGCCTAAGAATGTTCCATGTGTAGCAGCAGCCAGGTGGAGTGACTGAAAATTCCTCTCCAGCTGCCTGACGGTCCATCCTGCAGCTGCAGTGACAACACAGACAAAGCCGGTCTTCACAACTGTATTTCAGACAGGTGGTGTAGAGGACTCTTGTTGCATTTCTTAAAAAGAGTAATAAAAAAAGATTCTTTTTTTTAAAGTAATTCCTTAAACATACCATCTGTCACAGGTAAGCTAGGTTTGTAAACAAGGTGGTAATTTATAGTTTCAAAAGAGGAAAATCCTGTGATCTTACAAGGTGGGCACACCTGGACCTGGAAAAGTTGTGATGTGGCACCGGAGTCCACAAACAGGCAGGTGCCGACAGACTCCACTTTGCAGACTGTTCTCAAATTGATGCTATGATTTAGAAGTGCTCCCAGTGCTACTCTTAGAATTTGGTAAGAAGAAGTGACATGCAGCGTCATGTCATCAGAAAGTCGAGGCAGACTGTTCATTCATTCACCTTCAAAAATAACACATGTTCTGTGTGAGTGCTATTAAGGGGAAGGGGTGGGTGAGGATTCACTGAAATAAGGAAAATCGTTGCTCTCTGCCTAACAAGGGATAACAATGATATCAATTATAGATTGTCTTTTTATTAAGTAGGAATTGTAGCAGGTAGTAAAAGTTTGACTTATGAGGACCAACCCTAAGTTGGTAGAAGAGTAATCAATTCATGAGCCATTAATGTTGCCTGTGTAATTCATGAATGTGACTTCAGTGATTTAAGTGTTAATACTGCAGAATGTCATTGGTGTAGCAACTTGAACTCACTAAAACCTCTCTTTCTACAAAGGACAGATGTCTGAATTAAAAAGATTAAAGAGGGGAGTGACTGCTTTCTTTTGATTTGGCTGTTAGCTATCACAACAAGCCCCAGATCACTAAAAATAGCAGCTGTAAGGAAACCTCTCTCAGGTGTAAACTCAATAGTTAATTTTCTCTCAAATTGGCTGTTTTTCCTATAAAGAATAGTTCTAAAAAATATATCTTTCCAGGACTTATTTCTCAGGAAAAGGTCTGAGCTATGCCTATTTTATGTAGTCATACATATCTGACTAAAATAAACAATAAGAATTCATAGTTAATACATAACAAAAGTAACAAATGGCAAGTGGGGTTGACACTTCTGTTTCCAACTTGAAAGTACTAGCCTGATGAATGCTAAGCAGATGATGCTCTCAGAGGCAAAACAGCATGCCTCTGAAGCTGTTGGATAGCGTATAAATGAACATCTGGGACTGGAAGAATGCTGGCCCAGCCTGGTAGTTGCAGCGGAAAGCCAGCACAGGCAGTGAGTGGGTGAGACCTCTGAGTCGGCAGGCAGTAGAAGTGGTCAAGCTCAAGACTGAGTAACAGGATCAAAATCCAAGCCAGGATTATAGACTTGAACTAGAGTCTCAATTGTCATATAGACTGAGGAAGGAGTTCCCATCGCTTCCTACCATGGGAATGTGTTACACGTAAGTGTGGACAGACCTGACCCAAAGACTTGTGGCCTAAGAGAGAATGCCTGTCTGGTGTGGCGTGGAGGAACGAGCTGTGGCTCTCTTATCGCTGACAGACTGTTGGTGATTAGTGTTGCCTGTCTGGTGTGGCGTGGAGGAGCGAGCTGTGGCTCTCTCATCACTGATAGCTCATTGGTGATTAGTGTTGCCTGTTTGGTGTGGCGTGGAGGAGCGAGCTGTGGCTCTCTCATCATTGATAGCTCATTGGTGATTAGTGTTGCCTGTCAGGTGTGGCGTGGAGGAATGAGCTGTGGCTCTCTCATCGCTGACAGACTGTTGGTGATTGGTGTTTTCCTTAGTAGCACATGGAGATGCTGTGCAACCAGTCATGTCTGTCCAAGTAAAAGACCGTGTTACTAATTTTTAAATTCTAACCAAATGTAGGTAGATTCTAGCTAATTATATCCTGAATTCAAATTCACTGAGACCAGTTGGCTCATAAAGTAGAAATACCAACTTATTTGGGTGTGTAGAACATTATACAGGCATAACAGTAAGGCCTCGATTTTTCAGAATAACCCCAACTATATATTACAAAGCTGTTTTTAATAAAGGTGATGTACTAAATATATACTTTTGGGGTGGAGGGGTCTTTTCAAGACAAGTTAATAAAACAGGAAAAAATATACACTGTCAGAATAAGTATTCAGAATTCAGGTTCAGGCTCGGCGCCTATAGCTCAACCGGCTAAGGTGCCAGCCACGTACACCTAAGGTGGCGGGTTCGAATCCCCAGCCCGGACCCGCCAAACAACAATGATGACGGCTGCAACCAAAAAATAGCCGGGCGTTGTGGCGGGCGCCTGTGGTCCCAGCTACTTGGGAGGCGGAGGCAGGAGACTCGCTTGAGCCCAGGAGTTGGAGGTTGCTGTGAGCTGTAATGCCACGGCACTCTACCCAGGGGGACAGCTTGAGGCTCTGTCTCAAAAAAAAAAAAAAAAAAAAAAAGGAATTCAGGTTCAAAAATACTTGTATACTTTCCATTTCTAGCTGTGACAGAATAGCTTATACTGCTCTGCCACCGAAAACAGAGCAGCTGAATAGAATGCATGCAGCCTCTACTTGGAGTCACCGGAGTATCTCCAAGGCAGCCAGGACTTGAGGGACAAAGATGCTGGGAGAAGGGACAGAGAAATGACCCCTCACACTATGCTGGTTTTCTTCTCAAGCATTTACCAATTCTTATGTTGTACAATTTAAGAAGTTTAGGGGAAAAAAACTTGAAAGGTATAGCAGAGCATTCAGCTGTCACAAAACTGGAAAGACGAAAACTGAGCTTCAGAACCTCAAAGAGGAAAGTCTCTAACAACCCTCCAGGCACTCACTGTGATCTCTCAAAGAATTCAAACCCTGAGGTAAACCAGAGGTAGAGCCAACTTTATAAAACCTGAAGCCCTGCCTTGAATAACCTCAGTTTTTGACTGGACTGTAGTGTCCTTGCTCTAGTTTGCCAGAGGATAGGGTGAATCTTTCTGGAAGAGGATAATTTCATCTGCAGCTGCTATAGTTTTTCATACACAATCTGGCATTCCAGTAAAAATTATTAAGCATACTAAGAAATAAGGATCAAAAGAGAAATAAATACAATAAAAAGAGAATAAGTGTATAAATAAGTCTAGGATGCATGTCAGGCATGGTACAAGTCTAAAATACATGTAATTAGAATCAGAATGGGATAAGGGGCTTGGCGCCTGTTGCACAGTGGTTATGGTGCCAGCCTCTGGTGGGCTAGAGAGCCCGGCCAGCTAAAACAACGATAACTACAACAAGGTGGGCGGCACCTGTGGCTCAAAGAATGGGGTGCCGGCCCCATATACTGGAGGTGATGGGTTCAAGCCCAGTCCTGGCCAAAAGAAAATAGCTGGGCATTGTGGCAGGTGCCTGTAATCCCAGCTACTTGGGAGCCTGAGGCAAGAGAATCACTTACGCCCAAGAGTTTTTGAGGTTGCTCTGAGCTGTGACACCACAGCACTACTGAGGGCGACAGTGAGACTGTCTCAAAAAAATAAATAAAATAATGGGATAAGGGAGAGCAATATCCAAAAAGATTATGGCTAAGAATTTTTCCAAAACTGATGAAAGACATCAAGCCAATAAGCACTAGAAAGATGTTAAGCAGTGGTCAGGGGAGATGCAAGTCAAAGCCACCACAGTGAGATACTTCACACCCACTACAAAGGCAGTAAGCAGAAAGGTAACCGTGTGATGTGGGTTTAAGGTGTCCATAAAGTTAAACGGACAATACCATAAAAGGGTAGAAGGCCACAAATAAGTGTTAAGGTATTCTAAGATCCCAACACTCTACCCAAGGTGACAGACACACACCCAAAATGTCTCTAATAGAATGTCATCTCACGTGGTTTTGAATAATTCATTTTTCATAGCCAAGTGCCCTTGGCTCTAGCCAATTAAGAGCAGTGGCCTACAAATGTGTCCTTTACTTATGAAAAATACCCTTCACAGCCCCGGTGCCAACATGTAAATAGTATAGGTAGCAGAGTGATGCAGCCTGAAATGAAGGGTCCAAAAAACAGCAGAGTCAAAATAGTTTTGTTTCATGTAGAATAACATGAAAAAGGCCCCTGGAGGAGAGACATATGCATTTATAAAAATGCTCCCAGGCAGCAAACCAATGATCATGAAATGCAGAAAATTAACTTCTGAACTTGATTTTCAACATCCAGAAAATTAGGGTAAAACTGAGGGCAACAAAGTGAGAGACTCTGTCTCAAAAAAAAAAAAAAAAAAAAAAGACCCTGTTTTCATGTCTCCACTGAAAACAGAAAAATTAGCCAGGCATTGTGGCAGGCGACTATAGTCCTAGCTACATGGGAGGCTGAGGAAATAGGATCTCTCTCTTTTTTTTTTTTTTTTAACTTCATAGTATATTTATTAGAATAAGAGATTAGATTTGTTAAAAATCTGGATTAAAATGTTTTAAAGGATTTTCTTACATTTTTTAGGCACTATACATCTTTACGATAGCATTGGTATTTGGATATAGGGAAAGATAAATCTGACACATTTTAAAGCCTTGATTGATTTGTGACATTCAAAACAACTCCACCATTTTTGAAACACTAGCCAAAGTATACCACTAATATCCCACAAAGTGGGTGGAACCTGTGGCTCAGTGGGTAGGGCACCAGCCCCATATACTGAGGATGGCCGGTTCAAACCCAGCCCCGGCCAAACTGCAACAACAACAAAAAATAGCCGGGTGTTGTGGCGGGCGCCTGTTGTCCCACCTACTCGGGAGGCTGAGGCTACAGAATCACCTAAGCCCAGGAGATGGAGGTTGCTGTGAGCTGTGCGACGCCACGGCACTCTACCGAGGGCGATAAAGTGAAACTCTGTCTCTACAAAAAAAAAAAAAAAAAATCCCACAAAGTGTATTTAAAAATAAATTTAGAAATACAACTGGAAGTCAACAAATCACCACAGTAGACAAACTGGTAAGTCCCCAGCTATCATGGCAGTGAAGGGCTCTGGCCAGATTTTGATGCAAACTGCTGAATTCTATGTCAAAAGCAAAAATGATAATAAAATAACATGATGTGCCACTTTCTGTTGCTCATTTTCATAGCAGCAAAGCATGTGAAAGATCTCACAAGGCTCCCTCCTACTCACACAGAAAGAAA